CGCGGCTGGAAGGACAGAGGCTGCCGAGTGCCCCTTTCTAGCTGCAGTTCGGGATCTTCTCTTCAGGGAAACAGAAGGTGCTTTTGTCCGGGGTGGGTGCGGGGAGCAGGGGTCCCCGAGGGTGAGGCACGCGCAGCCCCCGGGCAGCTGCCCCAAGCGCCCCTCCCTGCGGCAGACCCCTGGCCCCACACCCACACCGGTGGGATTCCGCATTGCTCAGGACGGGGGCAGGCGCTGGGGGTCACCGCAACCCCCACCCCTAACCACCAGAGGCAGCCGGCACCTGCAGCATTTGGCAGGGCCTCCCATTTGCGCGGGCTTAGGCCCGGCCTCCTCGCCCTGGGGGGTTGGGGGCCCGCAGGGGAAACCTCATGGAATTAGCAGAGTCGGGACCTCCGCGGTCACTCTGCCCCACTGCAGGGTCTGGCCCTGGTATCTGCTCCCCAGGGCTGGGGCCGGGAAGGGGCGGCCCTGGGCCTGCTCGGTGACTGCCAGGCGCCAGCCTTGCCCAGTGAAGGGAGGCCGTGTTCCTTCACAAACGGAAAAGTAGCCCGCTCTGGGGCGCTGGGCTCCACAGGGCTCTTGGCCACCCGGGTGATGGGAACAGGAAGGATGCGACTGTTTGGGGCTTTAATATTCCAAATGGAAAAAATACAAGTTGTACAGTATTTTTCCTGTCAAGGTTATTATTCTACACAGAACAAAAAAGCAAAAAGCATGTGGGCAGTGGGAGCGCAGACCCACCTCGGGACCGGCCCTGAGGCTGGAGACGCCGGTGCAATTGCTCAGTGGGGTTTTGTTTAGCGTTTATTTTAGAGGCCTTACCAGTGTGAGGCCGCTGTCTTTACACTAGCACTGATGCGAGCTGCGTGATTCCAACTTTTAACTTGAATTTTGTAGAGACGAAAGGACTATTACTGTTCATACAAGTTCGTAGTTAATTTAACATTTGAGTTTTTCTCTATTGGTTATGCGTGTGGCTTTATAGGGCTTTTTTTCCCCGTTTGTTTTACTATTTTGTTTGGGATGCTTCTTCGCTGGTGCAACCCACCCAGATTTGGTTCCCTTTTCAAAACATCCCCCCTTCCTGGAGATGATGTCACCGAGCCCAGAGCCGGGGAGCCCTACCTGACAGGCACATGCCAGGCCAGTGGCTCTGAGGGTGCCAGGGATCCCGAGTGGGCAGCCCGAGATCCCTCCTGTTCACCTTCTCTCCACTCCAGGCCACCAGCCTGGAACCCTGAGACTCAGCAACAGGGAGCAAGCAAGGGCCAACCTGGGGGAGGGTCTGTCACCCGGAGCCACCTCCCCACAGGTCTCCAAGGGGAACCCTACCCAACTGGGGGAGCAGTGGTTTCCTTTCTTTTCTTTTTTCTTTTTTTTTTTTTCGTCCTCTTGGCCGCCCACAGCCAGAAAGCCAGGACCACCTGAACTGGAGCGGGAGCAGGGCGGGAGGAGTGTGGTCAGACGGAGTGTACCTGATTCAACAGGAAACGTATCGTTTTCTAAAACAGCCCCCACCAGAGCCTCCTGAACTGTGTGGGCATTCGCCCAGACTTTGTGCCCAACCACAGAACCGGGGAGTCTGTGCAAGGAGTTTTGTAAAGGAAAAAAAACAAAAACATTTTTCAATGTAGCAAAATCAAAAAAAAAAAGACGCCGACAGTGCGAAGTCTAGCCTTTTGTAACCTTCATATTGCACACTAGGACTATAAGCCATTGCTAGCTCATTTTGAATTTTAATGTGTAATTTTTGTTTTATTTTCTTTCTGTGGGGAAAACAATGCTTGATCCACCAATGCTCTTTTTAATGTTTTATAACTATGTATGTGTATATATATAAATATAAAATAATATGTATGCACATATGTGTGTATATATCTATATGTATATACATATATAGATATATAGAGATATATAGAGAGGTTTTGAGACAAAAAATGCAGAACGTGAGAACCGAACTGAACAGCGTGTGCTCTGATTACTTGAATCTGGTCTCCTCGGCACCTGGTTATTAAGAACTGAATATTTTTCCACTTGAATTTAGTGCTATTAGAAATTTAATATATGTGTTTTATTTATTTGATTTTTTTTTTTTTTTTGCATGACTGATGCAAGGTTTGACATTTTCACTCAATAAAAACTGGAAAAAAATCTGTCAAGTTATCTTTTATTTTTAAAAGCCCCAGTCGGTGATGACCCAGCTGTGCAGGCGGCACCACCACAGCCAGCTCCGAGTGCCAGGCAGGGAGGGGCGGAGGGAGTCAGTGACCTGTCAACCCTGGCAGGGAGCGGGGAAAACCAATTTCGCCCCTGGGATTGGGCTGAGTTCTCCCAGGGGTCTGGGGACAGACGGTGGGAGGTTTGGGCCCCATTCAGCTGAAGGGCGGCCTCATCCCCTAGCCCTGCCTGAAGGCCCCACATGAGACTCACTCAGCAGCCACCTGTGGGCAGAGCAACTGGCATGGAAGCTTCAAGCCTCTAGCGAAGACTCCATGGCTCCCCAGGCCCCCACACTGGTCAGCCCCTTCCCCTCAAAGCCAGGGCTACTAGGCAGGCGCTTGGCAGGGTCAGCCCTCTGCCTCCTCCCTCGGCTCCTTCCTCCTTCCTGCAGGGACCTGCCCGGGCTGGGAACGGCGCGTACCCGGATCCTATCCGGATGCTGGCTCGGCTCCTGCCTGGAGCACGTGGGGCAGAGCCAGAGGGGGCCTATTCTTGGGTCTGTAGCCACCAGCCCCAGGCCTGAGCTGCCAGCCTTGGTGGCACCATGGCGGAGAGCACTCCCACCAGGCTCTGCCCAGTGTGAGGCCTCACGCCTCGTTAGCCTGACACTTCTAAATGGTGCACCGCTTCTCATTAAACCTCATCATCCACACCATCTTGCCAGCCTCGCCCTGAGCTGACCTTCCGGGTGGCCAGACGTGCCAGGGCCTCGGAGAGGGGACGTGTCTGGGACCCACAGAGTTCTTCCACTTGGAGAAGCGTATCGCTGGGTGTCCCACCCCTGCAATGAGCACGCCACCTTCCTGAGAAAGGAAGCAGGAGCTGGGAAGGTGAAGTCCCACCGGGCCCAGCCGGGTGCCCCAGCGCTCCTCCCCTGGCTGGGCACCCCTTCCAGCGCCCTGCTCGCTGTCATCACCACCGAAGCTCGTTTAGGCCCAGCCCAGCACACACACAGGGCCCTTCCCTTTCTTCTTTCCTACCGGAACGTAGCCCACAGGCTATTTACATAAATATGTTTGTAACAGACGCGAAAATATATACTTTCTTCTGTCTTATTAAAATGTTCAAGTCGGAACTCGCCTATTGTTTGTGGATATCTCGATTCTGTTAAATAAAACAGTGACTAATTTATGGGATAAAACACAAGTTCAACAAATTAAAACCATTATTGGAGCTTCACAGGCCCTGGTGGGCCAAGCAGCCCTCCCCTGGGGCCTGAGAGGAGGCAGGGAGCCAAGCCCGCACCTCAGCCGGGTGAGTGGGTGGTGCGACCGCAGGGCTCCCTCTGGGCCTTGCAGTGGGGGCAGCAGATCAGAGACTTTGGAGGGCAGCTCCCGGGGGCGCCGACTTCAGCTGCCTCTCAGGGACTCCTGAGGCCCATGGGAGGATGGGCACTCAGGGCAGACCCCGCAAAACTGCCCCCAGGTCTTCTGGGTCCAGGTGGACCTCAGCAGACCCACACGCCGTAGACAGGCAGGGCCAGCTTCCAAGCAAGACTCAGGACGAGGCAGGGCCCTGTCCCCAGCCCAGAGAAGGGGGCCCTGGGCCTCAGGCACTCCTGAGAAAAGCCTCAGGGGGAAAAGGGCCTGCGACACAAGACGCTGCACCCAGGTCAGCCTCAGACGAGGTGCCCACCACACCCACCGGGAGCGGCACCCCACCCCAGGGGTGCGGAGTGGGCGCAGGCCCCATGACACTCCCTGTGGCTTGTTAGACTCAGTGGGAAATGCAGTAAAACATGCTTTCGTTCTGGGATTTAATTAGCTGTGGCGATGTGATGCTCCTACTCTCAAACTGGGGCAAATTCAAGACTTTTGTAACGTCTTAACCAAGAGCCAGAACCAGCTGCGCAGGCTCGAGCTAGCTCAGCGGCCTGCCTACCTCCCACAGACCTGGCTGGGCTTGGGTGCTGCCAACGGCTGAGTCATCCACGGGAGCCAGGCCTCGGCATCCACAAGCGGCCTGCCCCAGCCCACCTGGACAGGGCTGTGTAGCTATACGCCAGTCATGCTGGGCAAAGGCAGCTTGTCCATCTACCTTCACAAGGTGGCCGTGGCCCGAAAGGTAGCTTTGGCTTAAGGTCAGGGCACAGGGGTTGATGGATGACATGCTACTGTCCCAGGCCCCAGGTTGGGCCTCCAGGAAGCAGGGTGAACAGCGGGACCCCTCAGATGGGCTGGAGTCCGGAGGACCTTGCCAGGAATGTACAGGGGCCAGGCTCGTGCTGCTCAGGCTGGAGGAGCCACCCCACCCTCTGGGGCAGGCCAGACAGGAAGCAGCTTCCAGGAGGCCCAGAGCCAGCATGGGGGGCAGACAGTGGCAGATGGTGGCTGGAGTGGCCTGACCCAGCTACTTCTCCTGCGTGCCCCACACCCCACTGAGGGGAGACCCCTGGCCTTGGGAGGCATTTTTCTACCAGAGAACCCTGAGGCCCTGTCCTGACTCCCCAGCCCGTTGGCCCTGCCCAGAGCCTGAGGCCTGGCAGCCACATGGGGGTCTCTGAGGCATCCGGGGCCTGCTGAGGCCTTGGGGACAGCTCTCCCGGGGCTTCTCGGGTGGGGATGCGAAAGGCTTGCACATGAGTTTCCAAGGTGTACTTAAAACGTGGCCCTGTCACTACAAAGAGCCTCCTGGGACTCAGCAGGGAGCAGGGAAAGGCTTCGGGCATTCTTCTCATGAAATGATAATAAAATCTTTCTGGAAGAGCATGAACTTGAAGTGCTCGGTGAAAGTACACTTTAGGGCTTATGATTCAGGTGCGAGGTCCCAACAGTGCTGGGGGAGAGAGCAGCAATGCGCCCCAGAGCTGAGGGCTGGAGCACGGGGGTGAAGGGACCGTGGAGGGCAGGACACAACGCAGACCCGCACGTCAGCTCAAGGGCGGGCACATCGGAACAGTACCCTGGAGGTGTCTGCCCGGTCGCTGCTCCTGGCAGGGGGTGGCCATCGGTGATCCTGGGGTGCGAAACACCTGTGCAGGGGAAGCAGCAGGGGTCAAAGAGGAGGCTGGGGCAGGGAGGGGCCACCAGGGCTCGGGTCTACCCCCAGGTGAGCGCCTCACCTGAAGCTGGTCACCCTGCTTGCAGGGTCTCACTTGTCAAGAGCCTCTGTCCCTCTTCTCCTGATGCCTCAGCAGAAGCGATTTTAAACCAGCCCAGAAACTACAGATTAAGTAAACTCCTGAGGGTCAGAAGTCTCCTGCCTGCAGGGCTGGGGCTGGGACCAGGCTGAGACAGGGTGGGGTGGGGCTAGGATGGAGGCGGGGATCGCTGGGCTGGGGCAGGGCTGGGGCAGGGCTGGGGC